TTTTTCATAGCTGCTAAATGCAGCACTTGGAAGTGCTGTATGTGCAAGCAACTCAGATGTAGACGCAGCTAATGAATCTGCAAAGAAAGTGTCAGAGGAGGAAGGATAGCTGAATGCAGGGAGAAAGCCTTGCACATACTCAACAAAACTGTGATCAAACTGGGTATTGGAAGTTGTCAGCTTGATTGTGATGTTGCCCAGTGTAGTAGCACAAAATCACTCTCATGAATGGACTTGCTGCTCCGTGGTCATGCAGGGGCCTGTTGTACAGGCTGGGGCTAAGTAGCTCTCCAAGTGTTTTTGTTTGGTTAAGTACTGTCAGGATTAGCACAGCTTTTTATCAGCTGGGGAAGCAGACACTTAGAAAACTAAATGTTTTAATGGGAAAAGGCCTACTTCGAAAATGCACTTCGTTTTGCATTTGGGGTACAAATGGAAGCACGGGTATCTCCTGCTTGGTGTTTCGAAGTGAAACCACGAACATCTAGATAGAAACTCCTAATTTAGGCATCGGATTTGGCATGTATCTGCTTATTTGCTGAGTTTCCTTAGCTCCTCGTAACTCATCCAGAAAAGACTTGAATGCCAGGTGCTGGAGAGTTCAGTGGAGTGCAAGGTCGGACCCAAGGGCCCAGCATTTTAAGAGAACAGAGCAAATTAAGTTCACCCTTCAACCCCTTGCTCCAAGAACCTGCCACTCCTGTAAACCTGCTTAGCTGGAGCCCCCAGAAGTCTGCCAAACAGGACCCAGAAATGTTTCAGTATATATTTCTCCTGGAAGCAGGCAGTGTCAAGAAATGCAATTTTGTTAGATGACCGCCTTAGCCTTGAACTTTTCAGACAAATCTAAATGAAGAGAAGGAATTTATTCTGGCTTCCAGAACCTGATGAGAGCCCTGTGGGGCGTAGGTTCAAATTTTTAAATGTTCACATCAAATCAGATAATGGTATCCACCCCCTCAAAAGCTCAACGGGTGGAGAAGAACATAACAATAAGCACATGCAATCCTTCAGAGTTCATTATACAGCAAGTGTGTTTCAAAGGACCTTGAGAGCATGTTTCCAAGGGAGGGGTGAGGTCGATGCTTGGATGGGAGAAGCCAATTGAAATCAATGGGAATTGATTTAGAGTCTGGGGGCACTGTGTTAAAATCTCCAGTCTTACGATATAGCTTCATGAATATTAACAGGAGCGGGATCAATACGCAGCTGATTTTCAGATGTACAGCTGGCTCCTTTTCGTCTGTAGATTAAAGGAACGGCAATCTTTCTTTCTTTAGATAAGATTGAGAATTCCAGAAAATGACTTGTGACTTTACAGTGCAGTTCTTCAGGACAATTTGATAAGGTCTATGATATTTTCCTACTTTTTAAGCCTGTGTTTTCCTGGCGGCGTTTGTCTTTTGATGTCTGCTTCGAGGATGTCATCCAAAGTAAAAAAGAGGAGCGGGATGCTTTTGGGGCACGGATGCCTCTTCTGCATGGGGGGCTCTCTCAGGAACCCCGAGTTTTGGGGAAGCCCCATGAGATGGCTCTCCTTGCCCCCTACCTACCAGCAGATGGCTGCCGCTCTCCTGTGGAAGCGAGTGGCTTCGCTGCCGGTGGATCTCGTGCCTCGCAGAAAGTCACAGGGTGCTGCAAAGTGCTCTGTTTGTCAGAGACATGAGAGGCCTGCCTCTGAATGTGTAATCCTCCAATCTGAACGCCCTGAGGACTGACACCGTCCTCTTGGAAGAGCTCTTCAGGGTTCAGAGGCAGAAACCTGGGCTGCTGTGCCTGTAATGTATCGGCTGAGCCTGCCCAGCCCCAGCTGCTGCCTTAGCTGTGAAAGTGAAATCAGCCTTGAAAAAGTTCTCTGTTAACAAAGGATGCACATGATCGGAGACATCCTGAGCGGGTTTGTTTGTTTGTTTTGAAGGTGCAGGTCAGGATCCAAACTTGGCACCTTGTCCTGACTTCCTCAAGGAGCTGAACAAATGCCCTGGGTCCAAACAACCTACTGAAACTTCGGGAATGTTTCGGGCTCCTCTCTATAGCAAAGATTTAAAGATTTCCTTATTCAGGCTGCTTAATAACAAAGAATCCCATCTTAATTTCTTTTTTTTTAAGAAAGAAAGAAAAATAAAAATACAAAAAATACTTAAGCCTATACTAAATACTAATATTAATATGTATTATATATTAATATATAATACTAAACCACTGCCAGGGCTGCTCAGGCTCAGCAGCTGCTCGAGGGGACTTCTGGGGGGCTGTGGACTCCTAGGCTTGGGTGCTGAGAAGTGTGAGAGAGGAGGGGAGAAACCCTCCTGTTGAGAGTGATTTGGGGCAAGGCCAGTGTTGGAGGGGCTGTTTCCAGCCCTGGGGACCCTGCTCTCAGAGGTAGCTGCTGTCAGCTCTGGCTGTGAATCCGCAGCCTGAAGTCTCGCAAAAAGATGCGGCTGGGGCACTGAGCACTGGGAAACACGCAGGGTGTGCTGGTCTCTGTACTGAAACTAATTAAATATATACAGTAATCTGCAGTGTTTAACTGTGTAAAAAACAAAACAAAACAAAAAAACCAATCCCCTAAATCTCACATTGCCAAGGGACTGTAGCAGATTAGGTGTTTTAGCTTTATTTGAAGCCAGGATAATTAAACATAGCGTCTACTTCCAAGCTTTTGAAAATCTTTCTGCAATGTGATGAAGTTTTGTGGTGTGTTGCTCACGTTTAAGAGGATGTCAGGTCTCAGCTGGGCTGTTAAAGGAGGGAACCAAAGCACCTGAGGGCTGGTCCTATGGTCCTGAGTTCTTGGAATGGACTGGGAGGTAACAGTCACTGAGCTGTACCCGCAGCCTAAATTTTGCCTGGTTGGGCTTCTAAATACATTACGAAATATGTGTGGAAAGCTGAATATTGTCTTAGGCCTTCTAGATTCAGTGTTTTTCCTGTAACTTAGGTAGCATCTGTCAAACTGTGTATCAGGACATCTTTGATTCCAGCTTTATCGCTCTGGCTGGTGATAAAGACACACCGGGGTGGCAGGCACGTTATTTTGGGCAGCAGATCCCGGGGCGAGTTACTGGAGTTCAGTGGTTTGCTGTAGAGCCTGTGCATGCTGGGGGCAGTCGAATGCCCTTCAACAATGTGAGACACGAAGTTCCCCTCTGACAGGGTTTCCTTCCAGCCAGAGTTTGCTGTGTCCCTATACTGAACTGCTCCTGGCTCCTCTACACGAGCGGTGACTGCAGAAGTGATGGAGTTACCCCTGTGCGGAGGTCTGGTGGTTGCTTGCACCTCTAAAGGCATCGATGCCTTTGCACGTTGTTCCTTTTGAATTAAGGGAGTGCTGTTTCGGAGATGACTTGCTTATATTGTTTTTTCACTACACTCTTCACAACTGGACCTTGAATGTTGAGCTGATGCTTGCAACAAAGGGAAAAGCTTGAAAACTTAGAAATAACACTAAAAAGTGATTTCTCTAAGTTTCTAAAGGTCCATGCATCAGTGCTGCAGTGGGCTTCAGAGCAGTTTTTGGAGAAAAAAAAAAGAGTGGGGAAAAACAATGTGAACAATGCCATACAAAATGGGGTAAACTTTAGAGATTTTGTCTATCTATACATTATTCATGGTGGATAGTGAAAAGCAACTTGGCTTCTCTTGTGTTTTTGACGGCCAGTTGGAAATGGTGAAAATGTTTGTAACTTCTATTGTGTTTTCTCCTAATTAGACAAGGCAAATAGTTTGAGGAGCAAGGACAGAATTAATCATGGGCTCTTGCTCATCACAGCTGTGCTCTGAATGCCTGACAGAGACACTTTATGGCATGTAATTCAACATATAGAAAAAACGTACTACAAAGGACACAGTTTTGAAAGCATTTTCAGTGGTGATCATGTTTTTTTTTCCAAAGTCCTGAGCACAAATGATTACAATTGAACTGAATGGGAACCGAGATGCTTTAGAAAGTGAAATTCTTGCTGGCATTTTTGAAGAGGTGATCTGAATCTGGATTACAGCTTTTTATGTAATTTGGATATAATTTTCATGTATAATTTGGTGGCTGTAAAAGCATATTGAGTATTTGCTGCAGGCAGTTGGTTACCAAAGCATCCAACCATCTCTTTTGGTGTAAAAACATGGAAATGAGTTGATTCTGAGGGTACTTTAAAACCATAAGATTAAAGTATTTCCAGTATGTCAGTATTAAAACTAAAAGCTGTGTTTGTATTCTATATAAACTATAAGCATGTTTTTGAATGATTTGGTGTCACTAACAATTATACTTAACATCTCTTATTAACTTCAACATGTGTATATGTTAGAATTAGCTTTTTAAAGAAATATTAACCACTTTGCTTATTGCTTTGATTTTTTTCTTAACCAAATCTGTAGTACTTCTGCTGTGCTACTTTTTTTTCTTTAAATTTTAAATCCTCCCACTTTTGCTTTGGTAAGGGTGTCCCAGCTTGAGAATAAAGTTTCTCTTTGAATTGGTAAATGCTATTTTAGGTGTACAGGATGCAGCTGAAAGTGTTTTCTCAGCCTTTTACATGATCCAGGCTTAAAAAATGATTCACAATCATTTTCATTTGCAAATGGTTGTTTGTCTGCCTTGCACATGTGTAGTCAGAGTAATAGACGTACAAGTACAGATCCTACCTAGTTGTGCAAATCCCATTTGTTTCCAAGTTTAAGCAGTTGTGCCCACACTTTAAAGGTCTGTTTTAAATCCCTTTGAGCGTGTTACTGAGACATAACTGTGAATGTAAATATTAGTTTAGAAAATATCTAGCATAAAAGAAAGGGTGTGATTCAATTACATCATTATTATATTGCAGTGATGATGTCTGTGATATCCACTGTGATGTGAAAACTGAATTGAACAAAAATACAGTTCATTTGGCTCTCAGTTTTTTATTGTTAGAACAAAATGTTCATAGATTTCCACTTTGTTTTGTGAAGTTTGTATATAGCTTGCTAAAAAAAATAATGGTTTTTATAAACTCTTTTGACAGCTCTGGCTGGAAATTAGAAGCATTGGGACTGCACAGATGAAGGTTCCAGAGAGATTAGGTAAGTGGATGAATAGGGAGGTGTTCAGTAAAAACAAACCTGATCTTTTCAGATCTTTTGCAGTTGTCCCATATGCCACAATGGAGGAACATTGTGGATGTTGGATATTTCTGGCTATTGATTTTTAAAGCACTAGGTTTCATGGACAACATTATTCTTGACTTGATTATTTGTATTATAAATTACTATATCTGGTGTACTATTAGCAGACAAATTTCAAAAATGGCTTTCTCTTTCAGTGCCTGGTACCACAGGCACTTGTGTCTAGGAGAGTTAGGGATAATTGGGTATGGAAAACAAAAAGGCTATTCCCTTCTGGTATTTGATACTTCCTTCAGTACAGCAAATCAAAGTTTTACTAGGTTCAGAAATGCCAAAGCAGCACATTTTGTACTCCTCAAAAAATATCAGTGTCTGGAAGTGAAGAACATCTGCATCTAAAACAGGCCAATTAGCAAGAAGCCACGAGTGATGCTAATGCTCAGTCTATTTTTGGTCACTCCTTACGTGATCAGAAAAATGGAGAATGCTGTCACTTTGATTAACTCTTCACATGCCTTTTTTTTTTTTAAAGTTGTTTTATTTTTGGTAGGGAAAGGATGATGAATAAAGTTTGCTTGTGAAGGCTTACAGGAATGTCTAGGAATACTGAGCAAATACATGGGCACTGGGTATTTGCTTGATACGTGGACCAAATATTCTGCAATCTACTGAGTGTGATACAATGCACCCTCCCATATAGAAGGCCAAGAGAAGGACAATGTATCTACATAAGTCATGTTTATGTACCTAAAACTTGAAATTTCATATCTGCAATTTTTATTTAATTTTGGCCGATGTCATATTGGTCGACATTATCTTTTAAAACTGAAATGACAGTAAGCCAAAAGAAAGTGTAAATTTCAGTCTCAAAGTAATTTGAATTCTTCTTCAATGGAAGAAAAATGCTTTGAGGTCAGCATTCTAATGCAATTCTATCTTGGAAGCAATTGTGCATCTTTGGATTACTTGACGGTTTTCTACGTATGTATCAGTGACTTCTCTGGTCCTATATCTCAATGACTTCTCGATCCAGAAGTGGCATCTACAGACTGGCTAGAAACCACTGCACTTACCTGTAAAATAATGTATGTGAAATATACTTAACACTCTTCTCTGTTGGTGTGCAGATACTTTTTGAGTCTTAATCGTAAGAATGTGATTTGATCACTGTTTGAGTGTACGAGATTGACATTCACATCCCATAGGGTTCATGTAAGTCATACTCAGTTGCTCAGATGTTAGGGAAGGTGATCTCTGGAGAGGAGGGTAAATGGTGAAACAAACTTATCTGAAAATGTTAGGATTTGCAAATACCCTTCATGTTATTGAAGGGACTTCCGTAATTTGATGAATCAGCTTCCAGAAATGTTCTGAGCTGATGTTTAGGTCTGCTACAAATAACCCTGAGATAATGGCATGTCCTAGTACCATCACCTCTAGCAATGTGTAGTGTTTTTTAAATTGTCTCTTTTTTTCCAATAATCTTTGCTATCATATTCCTTTCAATTAAACAAAAATTACTGTTGAAATACTGACCTGAAAAAAGTGGGGTTTCTTTCCATAACTGGTTTATTCACCAGAAAGTGTGTGTTTGTTATTGAGGTGTGGGAATGGTAGTGCCAGATGCCCTCATCTTTGGAGTGAAAGAGTTACTCAGGATCCCATGGTGACATTTTATAAACAGGACAGGGAGAGAAGACAAAATTGTTTAAAACAACCTGGATTAGAACTTATCCAGGAGATGAAATGTAGTTGTCCCTGATCTCCCAGAAAATTTCATGGGATTTGTTATCACCAGAAGCAGGAAGGACCTCTGCTCTACTTTTTTTTTTTCTGGCAGAAGATGAAGAACAGGCCTGCAGTTCGCTCCGGTGTAGCTCTGTTACTTGGTGCTTTTAAAAACATGACCCAAAGTGTGGATGGAAGTTGTCAAGGCTTAGCTTGAGATCTTGTGTGACCACACGTGCTGTTGGGTTTCGGATGAAGCCCAGCAGTTGTGAAGGCCAGTGCACCTGCTGGAGCTGCAGCTTGGAGCCATACCTTTGTCACTGAAGCTGATTTACAAATATTTTAGTGGTGTCTTTTCTAAAATGGTTAGTGATTTCCAGATCTTGTCTTTTAAAGAAACCAAAATGTGAATTATTTTTATTCAAGGTGTAACCCACGGGACGGTAAGAATGCATTGCAGGTATAGCAATAAAGTGAACTCCCAGTTGGCTACTGGGTAAAACTGGCAACAAAAGAGGGCACCAGTTCTCCACAGATCCCAGGGTTGGTATGTTCATAAGCTTCCCTCTCTGTAAGTGTGGAGCGCTGATAATGGGACAATTATCTTTTTGGGGTGGAGTGAAATCTGTGTTTACTCATATTTGCAATTTCAGTGGAATCCTTCCAATGTTATTTATGAGACCTTGAATAGACCCTGAGATAACGAGCAGAGAAGCTCGCTGCAGCAAAGCAGTAGCCTCTATTTTAATCCTCCCCACCAGAAGCACTGAAGACAGACGGAGCCTTGTTGCTGCTGTGGTGTAATCGTTGTGACCTTTGAAAGGTCACTTGGGATATTCCCAACTGCACAGACCGGGGCACTACGTGTCATCGAGCTGCTTCTCCTGCACCAAGTGTGGGTGGGTTTGTGCCATGTCGGGGTTGCAGAAACTTCCTTGTTGCTTTCCAAGGCTTTCTTCGTACCAGACTTCACTGAAATTAGTGCTGAGGTGTCCTCAGAGGTAAATTGTGGTTTCAGCCCTTGGTCGGGAAGTTCACAGTATATTTTTCTGTGCTGCAGAGCACTAGGTCTTACTACATCAGAATTGTACCTCTTTTGGTCAGGAAGAGTGGAAGATGGTGACAAGCCCCTCTCTGGGGAAGTAATGAGTAGTTAGTTTTTTTAAAAAAAAGTTCTACATTTTTTTTGTTGTTGTTGATTGTTCCCTGTTCATGGATCTTCTTGTCTTTGTGTATCTTTGCTTGGGAAACAAATGGGTAAGTTTGCACACTACTAGAAAATGTGATTGCAGCACGGGTGGCTAGTTTAGTACAGATAAAATAAAGGGAGGAATGTGACATGTCCAAATTATAAATAATGGACATGTTACAGTTATGCTGCTATTGTTACCCCATACGTACACTAAAGCCCTGAAACATCTCAACTCTGTTGTGAACTGAACATCCTGAAAACTGAGCAGTTGAAGTGCAGGTAGTCTCACTGCTCAAATGCTTGTTAAATGAAGCTCATCATTGATATATTGAGTATAACCCTAGTGCAGCTGTTTCCTCAGTTCTTTCATTAAAGCTTTGACTTATTTTCTAAAGATAGCCGCTGGGTGGTCCAACAGGAATAGGAAATGATATTTACTATATATACTAGTTATTCCAGGTGTAAGAACAAGTGACTGAAAAAAGAAAATCACATATTTTTAAGTTGTCATTTTGAAATGTCATTATTTAAGTTGCAGGCGTGTTCAGCATGCCACATCTCTTGAAGTTAATAAATATATTACAGAATCACAGAATCATCTAGGTTGGAAGAGACATCTAAGATCACCTAGTCCAACCTCTGACCTAACACTATAACCAGTCCTCCAGTAAACCATATCCCTAAGCTCTACATTTAAACACCTTTTAAAGACCTCCAGGGCTGGTGACTCCACCACTTCCCTGGGCAGCCCATCCCAATGCCTAACAACCCTTTCGGTAAAGAAGTTCTTCCTAATATTCAACCCAAACCTCCCCTTGTGCAACTTTAGCCCATTCCCCCTCGTCCTGTCCCCAGGCACATGGGAGAACAGGCCAACCCCCACCTCGCTACAGCCCCCTTTAAGGTACCTGTAGAGAGCAGTAAGGTTGCCCCTGAGCCTCCTCTTCTACAGGCTTAACAATCCCAGCTCCCTCAGCTGCTCCTAAGACTTGTGATATTTGTAATGCTTTTTTTTTTAAAAAACAAAAACAAACAAACAAAAAACACAACAAAAACAAAACAAAAACATAACAACAACAAAAATCTTTGCAATATTTAGTACTTATCTTACAGTTATTTTTTTCTTTCACTTAGTGCCTTTGATGACGATAGGTTGTTTGTATTAGATTGTGTGTGTCTAACTAAAATCAAGCCAGTGATACTGCTCAAACATCAGTGGAAACATTGAAATCCTCTGATGTTGCTAAACCTTGGATTTAAGTCTAGCATAACTGGATGGTAACTATACATGAGGTGGTTCCAATACCTTTACTTTAGAACTGCTCCCTTTTACGTACCTATCAACGTTTATTTTAAAATTTGGATCAGCCTGAGGTTTTCCCCATGCAAAAAGTGGGTTCTGCCTTTCGCAGATTTGAGTTGTTGATTCCAGAGAGCTTTGCCAGTTTGTGATTCCTCTTAAATGCGTGCTATTTCTGTACAATTCCCTGGAGTGTATGATGGTTTATTCTGTTTCATTAACATTTGGAAGGGATTTGAGGAATTGCATGGCTTGGTCACTACAGTAAAAAGATAATAATGCTCTTGAGAGAAGCTAAATGTGGAAATTGCATGTGAGAAGCTGCATGTCCATCCTCGGAGGCTGTAACTGCCGTTCTCTGTGGGGTACTATAAAGTTTTAACTGCCCTAATCAGCAAGGAGCATCACCACCACTCATGTCAAAGGAATGGCCCTCCTATATGATAACATCTGAAGGCTGTTATCATCGATGGCCATGCCTATATATCATTTTCTAAGCATGAGACCGTGCTCAAGTCCAAACTTGTTGCATATTGAAATAGTTTGGAGGGAAGGCCACCATGAGAGGAGGAATCTGGTGTTGGATGGAGAAGCTTGAATTCACATTACACATTTCTGTGCATGCAAGCATGCCACTGTATGTATTACAGGCAGAGTTATAAAGCCATTTTCTTTATGTATCTTTGCCTATTTTCTTTAGCTCTCCCTTCTTCCAGCTACACGATGCTATGCAATGGT